CCAACTTCAGGCATGATATTCCCCTCTGAAAAAAAAATCGGGGCCGGCCAAAAGAGACCCCCCACCACCCGCCCAAAAAAATCGGAATTCCGATTTTAATCGGAATAATATCATGTCTGTAACTTCTTCTTCAGGGAGAGGATTGAACCCTCCCTGGCTTCCGATGCTCTGCTAGGCAGAGAAAGGTAACAAACTCTAATACAAAAAGGTAGCTGCAAGATCCATGCAGCTACTGCTTCACCACAGGGTAAAACAATCCCCGCAGCTCTGATGAGAGCGTGGCCGTCGCCCACTCTTCTCAAAAAATGCCGTCCATCAAGAAAAGCGCCTCCTCTTCACTGCGGAGCACCGAAAAATGGACCCACAGCTTCCCAGCAATGGCGGAAGCCTCCGCTCTTGTTTTCTGGCCGTCCGACCGATTTGTGATCTATTCTTCGCCCCAAAGGGCTGGAAACGGCAGCTGCGGCCCGTTGGCTGCACCGGATCCCCAAAGCAGTCCTCAGCTGTGTTGTGGAGCACCAATTTTAAATCGGGAAGACAAAAAGGAGGCTTTTTAGCAAAGGAAAAAGAAAGGAAAAAGGAAAGTTTCTAGTAAGACTGCCTTTGGAAGGAAACGTTCCAAAGGCAGGAGAGGCAAACCACACGTCCTTGTTTGCAAAGGACTGAGCATAAACTGGGGAGGAGTTACCCAGAGTGAGCGGAGCTAGGCTAATAAGCCTTCTGCATACTCAGTCCTAAGCAGACAAGGAAGAGTGCTACCCATCCTGACCTGTCGATGCTTTACAAGGGAAAAGAAGGCCTTTGCTTTCACCAGTACTGAGCAGCGGCATCGCATCATTGTGCTTCATGAAGAGGGTTACTCCTCTACAGAAATGGCCAAGAGACTGAAATGCCATCACACCACAGTGAGCAGAGTGGTTGAAAAATACCAAATAGGGGACTTCAGGTGGTGAGGTCACGTCGGAGCGGAGCAGGAGAGCGATCTCTGCAACCCTGTATCCAAATTTTCGTGCTTGGAAGCTCTCAGAGGCATCGTGAAGCTTGGAGAGACACACGAGTTAGAAGGGGAAACCTAGGAGCAGAGTGGAGGAAAGCAACCTCCCGCTGCGACGAGGGGAAGCCCTTTGAATCCGGTGCGAAAGAAACCCGGCATCTATGGAGGGTCCGAAGCTGTGACAGACAGCTATGATCGGGAAGCAGGAAAGTGGATCAACGCAAGACATCAGAAGAAGAACGGCAGACTGGGACAGTTTTTGAGAGGTGAGAGAAGAGAACCCTGTGAAAGACATTGACAGAGGGAGTCTCCGGAAAGAGTGAATACAGCGACTAATTGGCGGGGGATAGCGGAGCAAAAGGGAGAGGAGGAAACAGAACACTTTGACAGCTGAGAGAGAGCGCCGCAGAAGATCGAGACTCTGTGAATAAAAACTTAAAATTTCTACAATTTGGATTGATTTTCTGCAGAGCAGAAAAGAGACATTAGAGAGAACAATTGGAACTTTAATGGAAAACTGTAATTGAACGGAGAGTGGAACCATTTTGATAGAAAGCTGTGACTGCAATTTGAGAGTGAAAGTGACTAAGTAGTTAAAGACTGATGAAATAGGAAATGAGGAAAGTCATGTGACGGTGTGCAGAAGGGAAAAGAAGAAGGAAGAAAGAAAAAGAAAGCTAAATAATTTCTAAGTATTAAATTCAAAATTGTATATTGAAAAAAAACTAGTATGTATATATATGATTGCTTGCAAGAAGAATTAATTTATTTATCCTATTTTATAGATTGCTATATTCTTTATAACTGCTATACCCTATATATCCTTTATATCAGTGGTCGCCAACTGGTGGGCCACGGCCCACTGGTGGGCCGCAGAAAAATCTCACCCCTAGAGCACCCCCCAAAGCAATTTATCCAAGCTGCACAGAAACACAAGGCTGCGCTGCCCACATGGCCCGCAGGAACCCTCCCCACCCACTCACTCCTTACCCGGTAAACTTGCCTGCTAAATTTCTATTTTTCCTTTTTTTCGATCATCATCTGTTTTGCTGTGCCGGGAGATTTAGATTAGCTAGGAAGTAGGAAATGGTTGGATTTCTTGCTTTCTTGCTAGTCTTTAGACCTTTGGCTCTGCTTTTACGTACAGCCGAACCTCCCTTAGGACTGAAGGTTTGCTTGCAAGCAAATTCAATGCAGACTCATGGCAAGCAAATTTGAGACTGAGCTAGCCGATGGCAGATAGATCACTGAATGATTCTGTGAGCAACTCAATCTGCCTGCTTGCCTGATTTTGGGTAAAAGTTGCTGTTATAAAAAAATTCAATATTTACATACATGGTGTGTTGTGAGTTAATTTTGAGAGTTTGCTTGCAAGCAAATTTTATGTGACAGACTGAGCTAGCCAATGGCAGATAGATAGATCTCTGAATGAATCTGTGATTCTGTGAGCAACTCAATCTGCCTGCCTGCTTTGTCTGATTTTGGGTAAAAGTTGCTCTTTTTTATAAAAAATTGAATATTTATATATTTATAATATTTACATACAAGCCATGCCTAACCAGTCACATGACCACCAAGCCACATCCACAAATTACGCCACACCCACAGAACCATTTAGTGGTCCCTGGGATCTAAAATTATGAGTTTGGTGGTCCCTGAGGTCCAAAAGGGTGGCGACCCCTGGTTTAGAAATAAAAATAAAATAAAATGGCAATTAGGAAAAGAATGAGGGAATATGTAAATATACCATGGAGAAGATTGATATGTAAGGATAAAAGATATTGATTTATAGCAAGAGTAAGATGTAATGGTAAAGGAATAAGTAAATACATATACAGAAAAATGTGAGGAGATGCAAAAAATGTCTTGATGTTGATAACAATGTATAAAGTTTTATTTTTTTAAATTTGAAAACTTAATAAAATTTATTTATCGAAAAATACCAAATAACTGGTTCAGTTGATGACAGGCTCCGCTCTGGAAGACCAAGGAAGTCGACAAAATGGCAAGATCAGGCTCTGCAACGCATTTCAATGGCTGACAGGAAGCTCACCTCACCTCAGATTACAAGAATTTGGGGTGAAACATGTGATGTAAAAGTGTGCACAAGCACAGTGCGTCGTAGACTGCTTGCCAGAAGGCTCAAAGTAATCCTTTGCTCACAGACGCTCACTGCTCTCGTCGACATGCGTGAGCCAAGAAGTATGCCAAGTGGACCAACTAACAATGGGCCAAGGTCATCTTCAGTGGCAAGAGCAATTTCTACTTGACTGGGAATCAGTGCAATAAGTATGTCAGAAGATTTCCAGCTGAAGAATTTAGGCCGTACTGCCTGAATCTATCTGTGAAGCATCCATTGCACATGATGATCTTGGGGCTGTATCGCTACTTCTGGTATTGGTCGGATACAAATCGTGCAGGGAATCATAAATTACAAGCAGTATGCTGAAGTCCTGGAAAAGACCATGCTTCCTTCAGCTCAGCAACTTGTAGGGAAGGACTTTTACTTCCAGGATGACAATGCTCCTTGTCATCGAGCCAAGTCCGTCCAGCAGTGGATGAAGAAGCATGGTGCTCGACTCCTGGATTGGCCAGCTCAGAGCCCGGATTTGAACCCAATTGAGAACTTATGGGCCAAGACTGGTTATGAAATAAGCAAGAAGCATCCGAAGACCAAGCAGAAGCTGATTGAATCCATTATTGCAGCCTGGCACCACATTGTCACCAAAGATCACGTGCAAAGGCTTATACAGTCTATGCCGAAGCGATGCCGCCTGGTGATAAGCAATAAGGGCTGGCCAATTTCATATTAGTAGCCATGTTTGGTTACCTAAACGGTCCTTTTCAGGGCCACAAACAATAAAAATGTTAACAAAACACTAGCATCGGCCTTAGTAACTGCAACATGTATGCCACTGGGTATGCATCAGTTAATCTGTTTTCATAGTCATTGAAGCATGCATTGTAAGCATGCAAGAAAATTCACAATCCCCATCCAAACAGCATCAAATTGCAAAAAGCTTATGCTTTTCACTTAAAAACCACCAGTTTTTATTTAAATATAACAATATTTGCATAGCAGTTAGCATATCATAAAATCAATGGCCTATCCAAAAAATGTCATAAACCGTAAACCGTAAAGCGTGCAGGACTTTTTCACACAGCTGTACAAACATACAAGCACAGACCCACTCATAGATATGCACAGGGTGTACCAGAATTGAGGTCCCATGATTTAACTATATACTTATATTAAGTATTTGAAGCACAATTACCTTTTCTCTGAGAATTTTAAAAAAACCTATTGTGATTGACATATGGGACCGTATACCCTGTGCACAGAGACACGTATATTTTATTTATCTGTATCCTGCTTTTAATATTTTTTACAAATAACTCAAGGAGGTGAACATATTCAACATAGCTTCCTCCTATTTTCCCCATAACAACCCCATGAGGTGGGTTGGGCTGAGAGACAGGGACAGACCAAAATTTATCCAGCCAGCTTTAGTGCTGAGACACAACTAGAACTCAGTCACCTGGTGACTGGTCCCAAATCACACAGCTGGCTTTCGTGCCTGAGGCAAACTAGAACTCAGTCTCCTGGTGATTGGCTCAAAGACACCCAGCCATCTTTCATCCTGAGACAGGACTAGAACTCACCATCTCTGGCCCACAGACACCCAGCCAACTTTCATGCGGACAGGACCTGGTGATTGGCCCAAAGGCACCTGGTGATTGGCCCAAAGGCCCTCAGCTGGCTTTCATGACTAAGGTGGGACTAGAATTCAGTTTCCCACTTTCTCACCTAGTGCCTTAACCACTAGACCAAAGAGGTTGTTGTCATATATACTTATGGATACAAATGCAAACTCACACCCAAATATGACATTGTGTGTGAATATGTGTGTCTACAATCCTTAATAGTTAAATGGCTCTCCTGAGTGAGAAGATGGCGAAAATTCAGAAAGCAAAAGATTTCCAGGAAGGTGGGGCGGTGTCTCACCGTTGCCAGGTGGGGGGCTCATGTTCATCTGTTTCTCAACTTCATTTTGCAACTCTTTCAACTTCTCAGCTTCTTCCTCCATCTCTCGTACCCTGGCTTTAATGGCTTCCAGCTCCTGGGGAGGATTAAGCGAGCAGCCATGAGCAAAAAATAAAAAATGTCCTTTTTGAGTTTTTCCCACCCAAAGGCTCCTTCTGAAAGAAGGAAAGGTAGTCCTTGACTTATGACAACGGAGCCCAAAATTTATTGTTGCTGAGTGAGACATTGGTTCAACAAGTTTGGCCCCAGGTTATGACCTTCCTTGCCACCATTAAGTGAATCTGTGCAGTTGCAAAGGGGGGGATCGTGCAAGACACTCGTCATGTGAGTCAGTTGCTAAGGGTCTGAATTTTGATCACGTGACCACGAGGATGCTGGAATGGTCCGTTAAGTGTGAAAAATGGTCCTAAGTCACTTTTTTCAGTGCCATTGTAACTTTGAATTGAATTGTTGTAAGTCGAGGACTACCTGTACCCATTCTACAACAAAACCACAGGTAGTCCTCGACATACAATCATTCATTTAGTGACATTCGATATAACGCCACTGGGTAAAAAATGAATTACACGCTCACGCTTACGGACAGGGCATCTCCACGGTGACGTCGATCTAAATTTGGGGCACTTGGCAACCACCACATACAGGTGAAACTCGAAAAATTACAATATTGTGCAAAAGTTCATTTATTTCAGTAATGCAACTTAAAAGGTGAACCTAATATATGAGATAGACTCAATACATGCAAAGTAAGATAGTTCAAGCCGTGATTTGTCATATTTGTGATGATTATGGCTTACAGCTCATGAAAACCCCAAATCCACAATCTCAGAAAATTAGAATATTACATGCAATCAATAAAACAAGGATTGTACATAGAACAATATCGGACCCCTGAAAAGTATAAGCATGCATATGTACTCAGTACTTGGTTTGGGCCCCTTTTGCAGCAATTACTGCCTCAATGCGGCGTGGCATGGAAGCTATCAGCCTGTGGCACTGCTGAGGTATTATGGAAGACCAGGATGCTTCAATACCGGCCTTCAGCTCTTCTGCATTGTTCGGTCTCATGTCTCTCAGCTTTCTCTTGGCAGTGCCCCATAGATTCTCTATGGGGTTCAGGTCAGGAGAGTTTGCTGGCCAATCAAGCACAGTAATCCCACGGTCATTGAACCAGGTTTTGGTGCTTTTGGCAGTGTCACCAAGTCCTGCTGGAAAATGAAGTCAGCATCCCCATAAAGCTTGTCTGCGGAAGGAAGCATGAAGTGCTCCAAAATCTCCTGGTAGACGGCTGCGTTGACCCTGGACTTAATGAAGCATAGTGGACCAACACCAGCAGATGAACACCACCATATCAACACAGACTGTGGAAACTTCACACTGGACTTCAAGCATCTTGCAGTGTGTGCCTCTCCGTTCTTCAGGCATGATATTCCCCTCTGGAAAAAAAATCGGGGCCGGCCAAGAGACCCCCCACCGCGCGCACCGCCCGCTGCTCGCGCCGCCCGCCCTCCGCCTGCGCCACCCACCGCTCGCGCCGCTCGCCTGCCCTCCGCTCGCCCGCCCTGGCTCCGCCCGGGCGATTCCCCAAAACATCGCTTCTGACGTTTGTCGTTCAGGAGCAGCTTGACAAGAGGAATATGACGTTTGAAGCCCATGTCCAGGATCCGTCTGTGTGTGGTGGCTCTTGATGCACTGACCCCAGCCTCAGTCCACTCCTTGTGAAAGTCCCCAACACTTTTGAATGGCCGTTTCCTGACAATCCTCTCCAGGCTGCGGTCATCCCTGCTGCTTGTGCACCTTTTTCTTCTACACGTTTCCCTTCCACATAACTTTCTATTAATGTGCTTTGATACAGCACTTTGGGAACATCCAACTTCTTTTGCAATTACCTTTTGAGGCTTTCCCTCTTTATGGAGGGTGTCAATGATGGTTTTCTGCACAACTGTCAGGTCAGCAGTCTTTCCCATGATTGTGATTCCTGCTGAACCAGACTGAGAGGCCATTTAAAGGCTCAGGAACCCTTTGCAGGTGTTATGGCTTAATTAGCTGATTAGAGTGGAACACTTTGAGCCTAGCATACTGAACATTTTCACAATATTCTAATTTTCTGAGATTGTGGATTTGGGGTTTTCATGAGCTGTAAGCCACAATCATCTCAATTATGACACATCACGGCTTGAACTATCTTCCTTTGCATGTAATGAGTCTATCTCATATATTAGTTTTACCTTTTAAGTTGCATTACTGAAATAAATGAACTTTTGCACGATATTCTAATTTTTCGAGTTTCACCTGTATTTACAATAGTTGCACTGTCCTGGGGATGGGGGGTCACACAATCACACCATTTGACCTTTTTGGACGGCTGCCAACTAGCAAAGTCAATGGGGGGAAGCTGGATTCGTTTAACAATCCTGCGATTCCTTTTATCCACCATGGCAAAGTCGGTTGTAAAATCAGGCAATTGTCTCACTTAACAGTGGAAATTCTGGACCCCAATTGTGGTTGTAAATCAAGGACTAATTGCTCTGCCAATTAGGATCCAATCATGGGTAATACAGGTAATCCCTCGACTCACAAGTCCATTATGACAGCACTGAAGTGACTTATGACCGTTTTTCACACTTACGACCCCAGTCACATGATCAAAATTCAGGTGCTTGGCAATTATGACTGTCCCTGCGTCCCAGGGTCACGCAATGATCCCAGTTTTGCGACCTTTGGACAAGTCAATGGGGGAAGCCAAATTCACTTAGCGACCGTTTTACTAACTCAACTGCAGCAACTTCCTTCACACCACTGTGGCAAAAAAGGTGTTAACAGGAGGCATAATTAACTTCACCCGTATCTTGCTTAGCAACCAAATTTCAGGGTTCGATTGGGGTCGTAAATCGAGGATTACCTGCACACCACTCCAAACAGCTGCCCATCCTTCCTTTGCCTCCTCATTTTTCCCTCTTGGATCCCATTATTTTTCCTCTCGTTTTCCATTTGAAACATTGTGAGTTCTAACCACCCACATCTTGTGCACAACAACAACAAGCAGCATTGTTTCCCTTCCATTAAATGGTGCAGACTTTCCAACCTCCCAAAATATACCCAGACGGTGGAAGCCCCCTTGGCCTTTAAAGAAAGGAGGGTCTTTTTCCCCAGATTGGTCCAAATAGCGGGAGGCTCCCATCCTCCACTAAATGCTTTGTTTCCACGCTGAGAAGTAATGGAGGCTCTTCCTGCCCTGGAGCTCTACTGTCCCATCAAAGCTTCCTGCTTAGGGACATTTTCCAAGCAGCCACATGTCTCCCAGGCCCCTCCCAAATCCCTCCAAGATCTGCATTGCCATGTGAAGATCCCCCCTCTCTTTTTAATCCTCTCCCCCCCCCAATCTCCCATTAAGCCCCATGGCTCAGTCTCATCTTTCTTCCTCCCCAGCAAACAGCCGCCCTTCCCTTCCTATCCACTTTTTTTTTTTCAAAATGCACACACACAAAAGATAGCTCTTCCTCCCTGATCAGCTTCTCTGGCTCTGAAGCAACCAAGCTCTCCTTCAAAAAATAAAAAGATTTTTTTTTTTAAAAAAAAAAAAGAGGGGCTTCTATCCCTCTTATTGTTCTCCAGCCAGGCCTGCAGGGCAAAGAAGAGAGAGATCCAAATAAGAGACAGATCTGAGAGGAGGAGGAAGAGGATTTTTTTTAAAATTCTCCCCTTCCTTCCTTTTAAAAATTCTCTCCTTCCTTCCTCTCTTTTAATTTTTCCTTTAAATTCTTTCCATCTTATTCCCATCTCCCTCAAGAATTCTTTTTTCTTAATTTTTCCTTTTAAAAATTCTTTCCTTCCTTCCATTCCCATTTACATCCTTTCCTTCTTCCCAACCTCCCAATTTTTTTCCTTTTTAAGAATTCTCCTTTCCTTCCTTTCATTTTTCCTTTTAAAAAACTATTTCTTCCTTCTTATTCGTCTCCTTCCTTCCCTCCTCCCACCCACCTTTTCATTTTTCCTTTAAAATTCATTGTTTCCTTACCATTTTCCTTTCCTTCCTCCCTTATCATCTCCTTCCTTCCTTCCACTAATTTTCCTTTTTTAATTCTTTCCTTCCTCCCACTTATCCACACCTCCTTCCTTCCTTCCACTAATTTTCCTTTCTTTCCTTCCTCCTACTTGTCCCCATCTCCTTCCTTCCACTCTCCAGTTTTCTTTTTAATTCTTTCCTTCCTCCTTTCCACTTATCCCATCTCCTTCCTTCCACTCTTAATTTCATCTTTCATTTAATTCTTTCCTTCCTCCTTTCCACTTATCCCCATCTTCTTCCTTCCTTCTACTAATTTTCATTTTTTAAATTTCCTTCCTTCCTTCCACTCTCGAATTTCCTCTTTAATTCTTTCCTTCCTCTCCCCTTCATCCACCTATCCATCCAACTTCCCTCCCCTTCTTTTCCTTCATCCACCCAAGTCCCCGACACATTCCCCCCACCGTCCTCCCGCCCAAATGTGTGGGGGGGGGGGGGGGGGAGAAAATGCTCACCGGGTCCTCGATGGCGGAGTCGCTCTCGCCCAGGCCGGCCTCCAGCTCCTCGGGTTGACAGTGGTGGTGGTGGGCGCCCACGCCGGCCTGGCCGACCCGGGAGGGCAGCGAGGAGGACGAGATCGCGCCCCTGGGGCCGCCGCCACCCGCCTCCTCGATCAGCATCTCCTCTTCCTCTTCCACGCGGAGTTCCCCGCCCTGTTCCCCCCCGGGGCCGTTTCCCCCCAGCCCGTTCCCGTATTGCGACGGCAGGCCCACGCCCGGCTCCCCGTCGCCCTCTAAGGCCGCGATGGCGCCTCGCCCGCCGACGCCGACGCTCGTGCCTTTCACAGACGCCATAGAGCCCGCTGCCGCCGCCGCCGCCGCCGACACTGGCTGCCCGCCGCGCGCTCGGATTGGCTACCCCGTCTCGCACCCGCTCCTATTGGCTCGCTCCGACGCTCTCCACTGGCCCTCTGCCTCACGCCCTCAGCCTGGGCTCCTCGTTTGGCCCGGCGCGGCCGTCAATCAAGATGCGTCCGTTGGCGATTGGAAAAAGGGTTAGCGTGTTCGACCCGCCTTCAAAATGGTGGATGGGAGCTGAAGGATTTTTTTTTTCCTTTGGGGCCCCGCCCTCAAAGCGTTGATGCTCGCTGATTGGGACGGCGGGAAGGGTTTCCACCACCACCTGTTGGCTCTGGGTGTGGAGCTGAATGGAGGAGGTCGGTGTCAGTCTGTTAGACCCCGGTGGGAAAAGACCGACGGCCCAAAAAGAAAGTAGGGGGAGGTTGAAGCAAGGCGGACTTTGCCCGCCTTTTCCTCGCCAATCTTAATCCTCGATGCGTGATTGGTCGTTTCGCGTGTTTTTTTTTTAAAGGTAAATCCGTCGTTTATTGGCGGAAAAGTAATGTATCAATCCTATCCGCTGATGTTTTTCATTGGGCCCCCCAGCCCGCCTTGAGCCAATCAGCCAAAAGATCACATTGCATGGGTGACGTTATGCAAATCTGGCACATAGTTTTAGTCCAGGGGTGGGATTCTCGTGACAGTGGGGATGCTGCAACGGTCGTAAGTGTGAAAAACGGTCATAAGTCACTTTTTTCAGTGCCATTGTAACTTTAAATGGTCACTAAATGAACTGTTGTAAGTCAAGGATTACCAGTACAAAAATACAAAAAGCTTCCCTAAATACCAATCATTAGATTAAAAATACCTGCAAGCCTGTGTTTTAGGAAATGACAGACTCAGACCTTGGAATCCAAAAATAAGTTTTATTTGCGCAAAGGTTCAGAGCATTTTACCCAGAGCACATCTGAACACTTGCTATAGGTTTTAGTTACTTTTATACACTCCAAAGGCTACAAACCACAGAAAAACAACTTGTCAACCATCCATTGGTTAATTTGAATTTCAGTTACCCCCCCTCCCCTGTAGCTGGGCGAAAGTAGCTGGATTTCACAAAATCTTTGCTAACCCACCTTGTTAAAATCCTCTGACTTGTACCTCCGTTTGTGGTTTTTGTTGCAAGCAAGACAACATTTCCTGCTTGACAAATATGGGTGAATGACTGATGGATGACACACATTTCTGGCACACATTTCATTATCAAGCAGAATCATGTTAATATCTCCCTAAAAACAATATATTTATTCTTTCTGCCTTACCGGATTTACAAATTAGGCAGGGTGCCAGAGCACTTTGAGGAATCAAAATAGTTAAAATGCAATGATAACTATCAGCAGCCAACTCTTGCTCATAAAGTGAAACCCTTCAGCAGAGAGGTCATTTAAGCTCTCCAGAAAGAGCACACCCAGGAAAAGCAATCCTTAGATCCAATGCACCAATTAAAGGCACCAGCTGGTCTCACTCATCTCACAAGATATCCTAGACTGTGCAGAAATTGATAGATTGACATTGAAAATTACCCAGACAACACGCTGTTTATTAAGCAGTGTTGGAAGAAATATCCTTCTGGGTTCAGTTCCAAGTGGGGAAAAAGACACTGGATTTCATGGAAGTTGCTTGGAAAGAAGGTTTAATAGTGGACAGGACATGCCTTGGAGCTCTTGAGCAAAAAGGGAAGAGATGCTGGGAGTCCCTTGGTTTTATGCCCTCTCTAAGCTTTGAACTTCCTGGGGCACAGGAAGAGTATCCTGATTGGATGTTGTCAGGGGTCATAGCTAGCTTTGTAGGTTGTATGTGTGCTAAATTTGGCTGAATCCTGTTAGGTGATGTAATCTTCCCAGGTGCCATGTGGTGAGATGGGTAATCCTATCATGTCCTCAGGGCCATGTCTTAATCCCATCACCCTGGTGCTGAAGGGGGGGCAGGGAGCTGCAGGAAGCTGTTTTGTCTTTAAAACATGTTTCTCCTTTTCTCATCCAGGGAAATATAATATTCTGCCTTTTTAATATTTCCTAGAATATTTCATTCTTCTAGGAGAGGGGTGTCTGCTAACTTTCTACAGCAGTAAGAAATGTAATTAATAAAAAATTGAATAGAGGAGGAGGAGGAGAAGAAGGAGAAGCGACAGCAGCAACAGCAGCTAAAGCAATCCCTGCCTCCCAACCAGTGTTGGAAATAACACAAAGCCAACAAAAAAAAAAATTGGATCATTGAAAACAAAGAGGATTTATTAAAAAGAAATAACAGATGGTTTGCAAAGCGCCGTTGGTCTTTAGTGCCAATTTTCTGCTTTGAGCAAAATATGGATTAAGAGCATATACAGAGTGTGCCTTGTTTGACTTTTGATTCCCTTTTCAGTACCTTATGTTTACCACTGCTTGAAGCAAGGGAATTTAGTGATCGTTCAAAGTTACAATGACATGGAAAAAAAGTGATTTATTTCCGTTTTTCACAGACTTAGACTTTAGATTTAGAATAACTTTATTGTCACTTTAAATGTATGCTAATCGGCATACGTTAAAATGAAATTTCGTTCCATACACCTCTCAAAGGGTCATCACCTCCAATATACACTACATAAACACGACAAAATAAGTATATAAATACAAAATTACGCATATACCTGCATACCCACATATATTATATGACACAGAGAAACAACGCAGTCCAGTTCAGATGTATAGTTACAACCTTTGAAGCATCCCCATGCTCATATTTATTAAAATTCAGATGCTTGGCAACTGGTTCATACTTGTTAGTGTTTGGGGATTAACCCCTAGCAGAGTATTGCAGCAGTAGT